CAGTTTACTACGAATCTAAATCATAATTATGCACAAATCTATGAAATTTTGGATTGAAAGCGACTTCAGTATTTGATAATTTCGTGGTCACACAGGAAGTAAATATGAATATATGCTGCATATAGCTACTTTCACAATATTTCAATTATTACTCTCGTACCATAACTATAAAATAACGTAACGCAAAGCTCCATTACAACCATTAATAATTTCGATGTATTTTTGAAGCAGCTAATGTGAGATGGTCGAAAGGAAAACTTAAAGCACTCGAAACAAGTGCAAACATCGACAGAAAAAAAAACGAAATTCAAATGGAAAGTGTTCATGGTTGTTTGTTGTAAAACATATTTGAAAATGCCATCAATTAATCCTATATTATGCTTTAAATAGAAGAAGCTAATTATAGTAACGAAAGAAACGATTTCAGCTACAATTATCTGCATAAATTTTAAGAGTTCCACGACATAACCGTATTAATATATTTAGCTTATTGAATGTCCAAACCTCGCACCAAGACGATTATATGCTTCTTAATTGATTTTCTTTTCTCAAAGACGTTAAATGTCGCGACGCTAATTACCAGTCGTGCAAGTCCCATAATGAATGATAAGAAGTATGACGGTATGTTGCTGCTGGTGTTACCAAAGGTACAGCCACTTCATATTCTACCCGTATGTCTCCAACTGACGGGGAATTTTCTAGAGAAGGGTTGGAGTTTGTAACTGAACGTTTATGTAAATAAACACTTGGTCCTGCATTCATATTCGGCTGATAATTGCCGTTCACGTATGACGTGTGATGACGGCGGCGATAATTGTCAGCTGAATCATAGTAACCGGGATTTAAACCGAACCAATTTTGTGTATTAGAACTAAACATATTTCTTTTAGTGACTTTCTTTTTTATAAAACATACAACATTTTATTTTTTGAAGATATTAAACTCGCCACTAAACGTCCTTTACACGCAAGGGTTACTGTTGAACTGACCATTGATGACGCTGATATTTTTTTTTTTTATAATGTTTAGCGTAGTTTATTCGTGTTCTGACTATTACATATTATGGCTAGTCAGCTATAACAAATGATATATAGCGATAGATTTACGTTTGGTCGTCAGCAGTACGTAGAGTTCGGAAAGTACATAAATGTAAATGAAACTCCGAAAACATTAAATGAAAATTACTTCAGTCGGGGGGTTAAACCACTTGTTCATCAACACTCCTTACTTATAACTTTTCTCTCTCTCTCTCTCTCTCTCTCTCTTACTCTCTGCGAATTTAACTGGGGGGTTTATGATTTTTATTTTACTGCATACTGTGTGCGCCGCTATTAACACAAATTGAGGTTACAGGAAGTTACATTTCTATTGTTTTGGCTTTTGTACATCCATCTGCGAAAATCAGGGGATCTTACTGGTTTCGTCCCTTCGTTTGTAACATCTTAAAATAAATAGATATCAAAGACTAAATCATATATATATAGTCTTAGTCAGCAGAGGAATTTCAGTTATTTCATTCCCGTCTGTCACAACAATATGGATCTTGATTCATTTGTTTTTGGCAGTAGCAAAAAAGAAGTAAAATAGTCGAAAAGGCTGATAACTTAACACATTTTTGCAACAGCTTATAGCGGATATCGACTCTAAATATTTCACTACAAATAGAAGGCAATTTTAATCGTTCCAAACAAAGAAAAAACTGAAGAATGAATGTTCTGAACGTAATGGTCATATGCAAACCGAAAAGGGGGTATGAGAATATAAAGAAGAAAATAACTAGTACCAGGTATAAGTACATGCGGATGTAGTGATGGGAAGAAAAAAACAAATGAAGAGTTGTAGTGTCTAATACCTAATTCAATAAAAAATTCGTTAAAGAAAACAGTCAGTCTAAGAAATTCTTAAACTTTCTATTTTGATAGTAGAAAAATTGCTAAGCCATCGTCCTTGAGTTGATGAACAGCGTTAGATTGACTATAATATTTTATCGATTCACATCCTTTAAAATGTTTTATTGCAATCATCAACTCACTTGTTTTGAAAGTTGGGCGTTTAAGATTCGTCTAAAACCGAGTATGGCTTTTTCATCTTTCAGTTCTGAACATTTGCTTTTAAAATTACTTAGTGTGTGTGCATTGTTAAAAATGGCCGAAGAAAGGTGTTCTTAAAATTCCAATTCTAAATTACTTGCATTTATTTATTAGCGTTTCATGTCAACTACTTGTATATAAAATCAGTCATGTTCTGGCACGATGGAGCCTAGATGAAGATTTTGATAAATTTTTATAATAGAATGTACTTATGTTGTTAGCATTGGAATCAACTACAATTCTCCACCATTACCAAATAATTGTTTAACGCTATTTAATTGTTAAACATAATATGTAAATCAAATGTAAGGATATTTTAGCCGGACAAGAGAAACTACCCTTTGGTATCAAACATCTTTCTACTCACTAGCTGTTTTGTGCACAAAGTATAAGAACTTAGACCTTGTTAGACCTTGTTGTTTTGTAAAGGCTAAGTAAGCCCGCTTTTATGGGAATTCGTCAAAAATATGGCCCAATCCGATTAAAATTTTCTATATCCATTTAGTTCGCTAAAACACTACGTTTGATAGTGGTCCGCCATAAACCATTTGCAGCACATCTCTTCCTTGGACCAAGAAACTCAGTTGACATACAAGCTTAAATCGACTGGAAAAATGATTCTGAACCGATCGTTCCGTCAAACGGCAGATCCATGTTAAGTCCTTCTGGGTATTACGTGCACTATCATAAATTTAACACTATAACTGTTGCATGGGTAAATTTGACCTATTCGTTTAAACTTTTATATAATTCATGATAAAAGCTTAATTTCAACTTATTCCCAATTTATTTGGTAGTTGGGTGAGGAACGTGCTAACATATATTGCAATACGTTAGAAATAAACTTTAGTAATAAGTAAATAATAATTGCCTATGCCTTTCCTATCTTTCCCATGTCCCGGATGAAAAATACTTAATATTTAGATAGGTAGTTAAACATTTGGCACAGCCAAACAATATCCTTCCTGTGCTCCCATGTTAGAAGCCGGAAATATCCACAAGAAAAGTCGCTACAAACTGAAGAAACTATTCACCCACGAAATGTCGCAAAATTGCATTAAGGTTGCGGTTGTGGTTGTGTATTTAATGTCCTCTACCTGCCCTTCAATCCATCTGACCTTGTGTTCCTGTGTCCAAACTAGGGATAGCAGCTTCCAACATGATTTAATATAGTATAATCTTTCAAAAATTGCGACCTGCGTATTGTACACGATAGCACGTGGATTCTCATCGGTTGTGTCACACGGACGGAATTGACAATCTATTCTGAATCATCCGCCCTGAGTTAAAAAATCAACTCTAAATCCATTGGTTTTGTTACAAAAATCCCACTTCCACCAAATTCTAAAAATGGTAAAACGTACCCATTCATGACGCTTCACCTACACAACTAACGACTGCCGAAAAGATTGACAACAATTCGTAGGAAATTTCCCTGAAAAATGAGTTAAAACAAAAACGTCACACAACAAATCGTGTACAAATATAGTTTCACATTTATGCGACGTACTAAATATATCAGAGGACATTGTATTCACGTATCGAGTTTATTGGTGATGGGTATTAATGGATTCCATCCAAACCGGTTATAACTTTTCTCCTTTTTTGTGATGAGGGTGCTACGAGAATCTTTTTCTTGCAAAACTTGTGCAGACTTTAATGGGGTCGATTTACGGTTCTCGTTATCGAGCTGTCGTAGGATACGAAAGACCAAACCGATATGATCGCTTTTTGCGTTGTTGATACTCGAATCTTTTCGTATCGGATTGGGCTCGTAATTCGTTGTGAAATATGTGGTTTCGAAAGTATAGATTGCGACCAAAAAAGTGTAGCGTGTAACCAAAAAGTATAGATTGCAACCAAAAAGTATAGATTGCGACCAAAAAAGTATAGCGTGCAACCAAAAAGTTCGATAGCTATTTTGCTTTCGAGCTAAAATATGACATTTTACGTTCGATAACGAGCAAACACTCCTACGTCCGTCTGTGTTTATGGAATAGATTTTGAAGAAGGGTCGATATCTACAATGAGCTTGGTAATGAGTAATGAGATCGTAATTTATTCAATTTTTAAATATCGTATAAAAATAAGATAAAAAAATGTGGTTTGAAATATAACAAAATTAACATTTATTGCACTCGGAATTGAAAGAAATAGAAGAGAAGAGGGAGAGAGATATTATTTTAATAGATTACGACTCACAAGCACTTAGATGACTCGGGTAAATGTTATGTTCACCTAAACTTTAAACGGTCACCGCCATTGCACAAATAGTTTTCAAACCATTTTAAGCGAGTCACTCCTATCTTCAAACGTGTTTAGAGACCATCAAATATAAACATATACGCATTAACCAAAGTCATGATTTGAAACGGCTTATCGCTTCAATATCGCACGCCGCTTGCGTTACATTTGTTTTAAAGAATGTTTCATGGATATGTGTAAAAGGCAAAAAAATCACTTATACGGCGATGTCCTCTGTCGACGATGGATATATCAAGTAAGAAATTTATACTTCACCTGAAAATTCTAATTATAAAGAGATCCATCAATGTAATTAGACAGGTGGCAAGAAGCGCTTGTTCGTGAATGTTAATATTATATGCATTGTAACATATTGTCCATTTCTGCCATAAGTGGCACAAATATAAGAACTTTCTATGAAGAAGCTCAAAAATTCAATAAAATAATATACCTGTTGGATGTTAAAAAATATCACCTGAGACAAATTTGAACTTTCTTACACGTTTCGTTCGTTCGTTTCGTATCGTTTTATGTTCTTTGCTCCACATCTGTACGACAGAAGTAAGTAACTTCAAAAGAGAAAATCGATTTTTTCCATTTCCTCTCCGATGTGCGACTATTAGAAAAAGCGATGCTTCCACATATTTCACGCGTGAAGATACTTACCCAGGCAATATTGGTAAATAAGAAGTCGTAGAATCCAAAGTACGTATGGTGGTATTACCTCTAACCACCAATTTTTCGCGTGTCACACGACGATACGTTTCTTCGTGACGCATTGTTAATTAACTTTTATTAATTTATGTGCAAATTTTTTTTCGCTAATATTGGATTTTTTTTACACAAACAAATTTTTTTGAATGTAACACTGTCATTGCTTGTTTTGAACTGTTTTAACGGTGCGTAGGTATTTATTGTTTAGACTTCACGGTATATGGATATGTAGGTTTTTTCTTTCAAAGATAAGATGCTGCAACGGAGACGCAGCATTTGTATCATTGCGCATGGCTTGTTTTGCTCTTTATTTTATTTTAACTATTATTATTTCTTTCATAATTTTAATTATATACATGATTTTCAATTTCTTTGTGACGATTAACATAACGATTTTTATTGTACAATCACCGCATTTTGTGGTTTTTCCTCGTGTCCGGCGTAAATGCGATTGAATGTAAAGGTTTTTATTGTTGTGCACTTTTTTGTTTTGGTCAATTTTTTAATGCCGTGAGTAGAAAGGTTGTGTAAATTTATTTTGCATTCTGAGTCGAAGAGAATGTATACGTGCTCCTATGTACAAAAACAAGGTTTAATGTCAATTTAGGGAGGTTTTGTATAATTTCAGGAAAGATCTCTTTCAATCCGAATTTTTCTAAATAAGTTTATAAAAACAATTCGGCGATGGCTTTACATAAGTGTACATAAGTACGTGGAGATGTCAGGCTAAGTACTAAACACATTCTTTTTTTCATTTAAGCACGCAGTGGAATATTTATTTTTATCTGATTTTTTTTTATTAAAATTTCAATTCAATTACAATCAAATAAATTTTTGGCTTGAGAAATTACCTTAAATTGTCTTTTTTCCTAAATTGTCCTCGTCCTGTTCCGATTGTTGTACGTGAGTACGAAAACTTCACCATTATATTAATTTATGTAAACTATTAAAATGGTCAAGAGTTTTTGTTTAATCGGGTTTGCCGTAGATAGCGGATTTTTATTTGAAGAACTTAAAGTCAGGATTCATCTGCAACAATTTCATATTTTTATTTTAATTTCCTTTTTATTATAATTATATAACAAATAATATTATCGGAAAAAAATTGATCAAAGTTGCGTATTTCCAAAGTTTTTACTGGCATTATTCAGGGCAACTTTGGATTTTTTTACAATAATTTGGATTACAATTGTTCTTACTCTTAGTCAGAAATTCCAAATTAAGTACTGCAATGCGAGACTTTATCAATGAAGGGTATATGAATTTCTGATGATTTTGGTGGAACTCAAAGGAAAAGTTAATGCAAACCTGTTTCTTTTTGTTTTGTTTTGTTCTTCACACTTGCTTGTCGTTACTTTAATCTGCCAACCAACATTTTGAATAAAATCGTCCTGAATTATAGAGGTGATTTTATAAATAACACGCGTTATTTGTTCAGTGAAAAAGTTGAATCTACTTTTTCTTTCCAGCGGCAGAAGGAAAATACCGCAATTACTAACAAAGAAAGAAATAGTCTTATGTGTATTATTAGGATGTATATTGTTTCACAATTATAATCTTTTTACAAGATAGCAGCTAAGTTTAAAGATAAATTCATTAATAGCTTGAGATTTTTCTTTCTGCCCTGTGTCATACTTACTCAAGAATGTTTAGGAAATTTCATGGCCATCATTATTTGTTGGTTGGAAATTTAAATCGAACACATATAAGCGAACGTTCACAATAATATTTATTGGTTTCCTTATGTTTACAATTGAACTTCAAATGCAACCGTTAAAGGTGATAAGTGTACTAATAAATGCCAAATATCTCACGCAATATAGAAAGTATTGACTAGCGGCGAGCATATATATATATATATGTGCCTTATATAGGATGCCCCAAACTTTACGTATTTGGGGGTTGGAGAACACATATGTGCTTGTCGCAAAACAAACGCGATCTGGCGAAAGTAAACAAACGAATAATTTCTAAATAAGTGAACGAGAAATTTGTTACAAAAGAGGGCTTGTGAAATTCAAGATTCTTTAAGGAAATTGATTAAAGAACTAGGAGAAGAAGATACAGAAGAAAGTCGTCGAAAGCAGAAAAAGAAAGCTGTGACAGAAAGTGAATTATATTCAGAAAAAAACTGAATTATCTGTAAAAGTGAAACATTGCAGCTTGGGAAAGCAAACATCGTTACCTCCCTCTGTGTAGTTCATCGCACTCAAAGAACCACACCACAGACTCCGAAATTAATCCAACTCATATTTGACTGTTTATCATCTCCCAGTCTACAAAACTCAATTAGCAATGTATGTTGAGGCGAAAAAAGATGTACCGTCTCTCTCGCGATGCAGTTTGTTAATTGAATGATTCTGACTGTCTAAGGCCTAATTTTCATTTTACTCTTACTAGTCTTTTAATCTGTTTAATTATTTTATTTTCTTTTAAAATTATAAGAATGCCTTTTTAATACGTAACGCGAATGTACATTCGACGACTCCTTAAAAAGATGAGTTTAATTATTGTTAATTAAATTAGTTATTTAATATTAAAATTTTAATTCATATTTTTCTTTTTCGTCTTAAACACAAATGTCATTATTTTAATTATTCGTATTGATTATTCCTTATATTAAAATGTTTAACTAAATCGCTTTGTTTGTTACTGGCTGGCGAAGTAAGTTTACACATTACACTACACTTCCACCTTACATCACCTACATATTCTTACGGAAATCCCAAATCTAGTCATTTTCTACAACCAAATTTTCATTCGCTAGGCGTCATGCAGCTGCAGATCGATGAAAGCGATTAGTGGAAAGACAGACAGGTAAAAGCAGAGTGCACATTCGCAGGCTCCTCATGCAGCTGCATGCCGATGAAAACGGTTACCAACAAAAGCAGGTTAACGAATTAAATATCAAGTCATAAAATTAGGTGCTAGTAATAGGATGGCAAAAATGTATATAAATAGAATATTTGTGAAAGACAAAAAAGTAGAAAAAAAGTATTTGAGTTAAGCAGTCGAAAGTATTGCCAAAAATAATTTGTAAATAATTCTACATTAAAAGAAATATAATTGTAAAGAAAAAGAACTTTGAAGTGTATTTCTCTTGATCAAAATATCTACGATCTAGTGATACGGACTGTATCTCATAAAAGCGAATTTCGTAACAATATTATAAAAATTCTTTAGGGCAAATTCCTCTTTTGAACCACCCAATTTCGTCGAGCTAGTCAAAACCTGTTTAGAGCCGTTTAAGTATGCTACACATTCACAATGTCATCGACTGATGCGGTTTTTGGCTGGGGCGCAAATACACCTCCGAAAATGGGTCAAGTAATGACTTTTACTGGCGCTCGGTAAACCATTGCTTTTCTAATAAATTGGATGACATTGAAGTGAACGATATCTGCTCTCAACAAGACAGTGTTCGATGGCATACATCCCGTGGAAGGATTCATTGCATAAGACATTGTGTACTCATATAGTCTCTTATTTCGGCGATCAGAAGAACCCCACTAGATTTTTGTTTGTGGAATTATTTAACGTCAATAGACATTTGACAAGCGCACTAACGCCCATGCATTGAAGGACGAGATTCGACGCTGCATCAACGAAGTTCAGCCACATTTAAGCAAAATGGCTACGAAAACTTCGATAAAAGAGGATGTGCGTGTAAAGGCGCGAGGACAATTTTTCCGTCATGCTGTTATATAGCTCTATGTTACGTATATTATTACTGAGTAGAGAAACTACGATTTAAAGAAATAACCCTGTCTTGTATTTGGTTCAAATCTTGCGTAAATTTTGGGATATCCTATATGCAACTAACTAAGTTAGCTAATAACTTATATGTACCAACGAAAAATTAAGTTACTTTATATATATATATAAATTATTATATATAAAACTGTTAGTGCTAACTAAGTTAACTAATCGAAAATTTAACTTTCACCGAGGAAAAGGTCTTACTGTAATTATATAGTAGCGTAGTATATGACTTCAAATTAAATTAACACAATTTAATAACAACCCTGTAAGAAATAATTGAACTTAACAATAATAACCCATGTCGCACTATATTTTGGGCTGAATGTCTTTCGATCCTGGAAACCATCCCTTAGTGAGCCTCAAAAGAAATTCCTTATAGAGTCAGACCGTAAACTTGTCTTATACGCTTTACAATCATTTCCCTCAGGTAAAACTCCCCCTTACATATCAGAAATACTTTATAGCCTCAAATCTGATACATTTTGTTTTCACTTTCCCAGTCACATGGGCTTTCTTGACAACAACACTGCATATAAAATTACATCTTGCAGACCATTTCTTATTAATGATCGTGCTTTGATTCCTGCAGATCTGAGGGCAATCGACAAAAAACATTCAATTCTTCCTTGGCAACAGCGATGGAATAATTCACCTTATGATCGTCACTTATACTCTTTATTTCCACAAATAAATAAAGCTACTTGGTTTATCAATTGCGGACTCAGATGTGATATTATTTGTCTTATTAACAGACTAATGTTTAATCACACGGGATGTAATGCTCATCTGTTCAAAATTAATATAGTGAACAACCAAATGTGCATGTGGAGTCTTACAATGTCGTGATCATATCCTATTTGTCTGTCCGAATGTTACCACTTCTATTCGCTATTCCAAATTTCCCAAATTGAGTATACGTGGTCCCCGTGACCATAACATTCTTGACATTTTCCGTTCTCACAATTTAACAGCTTACTTCACAATCTTTGCTTTTTTTAAATCAAGATATATAAGCGTTTAAAGTCAAATTATGAACTCTCTTTTACACTTTTTTACTCATCAACTCTTTCTTTCACAACGAAATTTACTCGTCACTGTTCTATTCCATGGTATGTGGCGGGCGTGTATATTTTAACAAAAACTAAAAAAAAAATTAACGTGGCGGATATATAAAGACCTTAATCGAATAAACACTAAAATAAATAAACTATAATATTATATATCAAATCTAACCCCAATTTTGCTAAGTCCCAAAAAAGAACTCTTTGTTCACATTAGGCTCTTTTTACACATCTCAGTGAATTTTCAATTGTTGATTTGTTGCATAACAGAAGAAAAAGAAGAAGAATAACAGATTATTTCAAATTAGCTTAACCGAAATGTACTTATTTGAAATATTTATTATTTTTATAAAGTTATTTAAGTTAACTTTGGTTTCCCTGCCGCTTGAATTATCTATAAAATTAAGGTAGGTAAATTAAATGTAAAATTATATTATG